TTTGATATTTTCATATTTCATTGTGAACTGCTTACTTATATTTTGATTTTCAGTGTGAACAAGGTTTTTCTCCCCTTTTTTTTAGTGTGTAAAAGCTAAGAAATGGTTCAAAATTATGACAATTGCATAAAAAATAAAATAAAAGTTCAGCATCAACTGCTAACTTTTCTGTGATAATTTTAACCCTTAATTACCAACACAGGTACCTACCCACATTTTACTTTGTTTTATGGCATAACTGTGCTATTTCATTAATAATAATAAAATACCTTACAATTTTTTGTAAGGACTACAATTCAATTATCCTCCAAACAAAGTTTTGTGAATAATAAAAAATATAAGTTAGTTTCAAGTTGTATTCATGTTGGGTTCATGTATGTCTGTTTGATATTGTGGTAATAGAATAGTTAAGATATTTAATAGGATTTATATAATTGAAGCAATTTAAAGTTTGTTAACTGTTAGTTTTACATTTACCTGACTCCATTAGTAAAGAAAATTCTGGTACTTTAATAAATTTTCTTTAGAAATATCTTACTGCTTTAAATTTATCATTTGTTTCTAGTAGAATGTCTAATATACAGTCAAATAATGTTTAGAATTACATCCCATTATTATGAATGTATCTTCCTTATTAAATTTAGTCTAGAAATAGTGCTAGCTATTCTTAGGTATTTATTTTATTTCTTGCCTTCAAGTGTTTGTTGTAGTGAAGTATCTGTTGACATTTTACACATAGTGTAAAAACACTTTCAGCTGTTTGAAAATACATTATTTACTAGCTGGAATATCCATCCTCTGGATGAAAGTTATGTAAATTCCTGATTAATGAAAGGTTATCTTAGGACATGAAAAGTTGCTTCCCTTATACGTAATTGTAAAAAAAAACACACAAAAATTGCCCATAAAAATTGCGAAACACAAAATGAAACTGCAACTATTCATGTATCTCACCATGGACCTAATGAACCTCCACACCAATTCTGGTGAAGATCCAACTATAGGGGGCGAAGTAGTGGTAAAAATTGCAAAAACACCCCTAAAACTGCAAAACAAAAAATGCTATACTGAAAATTTGTATGTACTCTCACATGGACCTAATGAACCTCCATACCAATTTGGATGAAGATCCATCCACACCCAGACAATAGACAGTACTATTTTATTTATATAGATTTCCGTAAATGAGATTAACTTCCAACTGTTCTAAGTTTTATCTTTGATCCATGTATAGTGTAAAATACTTCAAGCTGTGCTAAAGAATAGTTTTTAATCCCTCTTCTATAGATGTGGACACACTAGAGCCTGATGAGAAGTCACTTATCACCTACATCTCTTCTCTCTATGATGTATTTCCTGAGCCCCCAGCCTACCACCCATTTGCTGATAATGTAAGTTCAAGTTCTTTAAAGGTACCTTTATCTTATCAGAGTTATTTATTTGTTTGTTATAGTATAACACTGTAATGAAGACATAGTGTTAGTACATACATTTGTGGTATATTAAGTAATCATCAGCAACTTCTAGGCTTAACTACAGCCAAATATCTCATCATTCAGTGATTTAGAAGGGTTGTAGAAACAGCAAAATGCTGATCAGTTATATATAATGTGGACTGTAGAAGAAGTAAACATTAATTTTAGACGCATGAACAAAAATATATGATCTTTTATGATGTTTAGAAGAATCTTAAGAAACAGCTGGTTGTTAATCTTTTATGGTATAATATACAGAATGTGAGATAAGTTATTAAATTGGCAGAGAATATGAAGATTTAAGTAAATTAAATGAGGTTAGGAAGGATTACTAGAAAAAGCAAGTTAAAATTCATTCTGTTATATAGGACAAACTTCGGAAGCTAGAAGAATACAAAGAACTGGCTAGCATATTACATTTGTGGATGCGAGAAACGATAATGATGCTTCAGGACCGAACTTTTCCTAATACTCTAGTAGAGATGAAAGTAAGTGTCTCATATAAAGTCTTTTACACATTTTTTACTGAAATATGTTTAAAGAAAAACAAAAGTCAGAGAAAATAAGGAGCCTAATACTGAACAGTAATACTCTAAATGTGGCCTAATCAGCAACCTATACAATGACATTATAACGTCTCTAGACTTTTATTCACTTATTCTGTAGATGCAATCTAAAATTCTATTTGCAGTGCCACTAACAACAGCACATTGTTTGGATGGCTTAAGAGAGTGATCATCCAGAAAACCAAGATCTGTTTCTTCCACACAGTTTTCTTTTAAGTTGTTTAAGATACTTTTGAAGATTATTAAGAAGTTCATTGAAGCCTAAATTAGTAATGGTGACTAGTTAGGGTATGTATTTGTTTAAATAGCTTAAAGTCAACATTAATAGTTTTGATTGCCTTATCCATAGGCTTTTCTAGCAGAATGTAACAGATTTAGAGTAGAGGACATCCCACAAAAACTCCATGACAAACAGAAACTCTCCAGTCTCTACAGAGATATACAGGTGAGAATTCACTTTCATCCTTCTGACTTGTATTGTTTATATTCAGCTCGATCAATTAAATGATGTAGTCAGCCCATTTCAGCTGACTCATTCTCTATGTTTATCCTATATGTTTTGATTTGATAAAACAGGTAATCTTTGTGTGAAAGTCAAATCTCAAATGAGATTTTGTAGCAGGTTATAATCAGTTAAAACGGGAAAAAAAATATTTTGTGAGTTAAATTTTTATGAGATAACTAGTCTTATTCTGAAATTTTTAGAAAGTTCAAAGAGAATTCATCAAGAAAAAATATTTTCAAAACTATATTGCTAGTTAATAATAAGTTATATGTATATAAGTGCTTGAAAACTTTACAGTAAAACAGCTTTTTTTAGCATTTAATATAAACTTTGTTTTTATCATCTCAGAAAATATTCAGAGAAACAGGTTCAGTAGAGATAGAATCAGAGTTAGAAATTGACACAATTGAGAGAAACTGGAATCGACTTATGGTGGCTCATCAAGACAGAGACCAAGCAGTTCATGATGAAATTAACAGGTAGGTGTTTTATGAAATATAGGTGGTACTGTAGTTCTGCTAGTTAGGTAATTATTTTATCACTTTAGATAATAGCTAATAACTAACGTTTTTGAGGTAGGACTTATAAGAAATGATGGTATAAAAGAAACCATTCCTGGAGAGATATAAGGTTTTTTGTTTTGTGAAATATTTGTGTGTGTGTGTTTTGGACTGCTCATTGAAATTACTCAATATTGTGGTTACTTTTCCTATGTTATCATCAGAATTCATATAATTATCACCTAATTGATTATCCATTTGTTTAGTTTAGTAACTGTTAGAGATTTTTAAAAGTACTATTAACTAGGTCATCTTGGAATTACTTGTAAGCTATGTAACCATAATATGTTGGAGATATACATCCATGCCAGGATCTTAAGCATGCCATTCCCTGTTGAGTAGCCTTTTTCAATTTGTTTTCCCAGAAACCAGAGAAAATTAGGGAATTTGATGAAATATCAAAATTTTTATATTTGTTTGAGTTATTGTATATTTCCTTTAAGAAAGGTCTACAAACCATTTGTTTGCAAATAGAAATATATTCCATTGCAGCCAGAGGGATAATCACAATAAAGCTTTATGATGCTTACAGTTTTTAACATTTCTTACTTTGAGTGTTTCAGTATAATCTTTTGATGATTATTCAGTGGATTTGTTGTCTGCATCTGAACTTTCAAACTGTTCATCAGAACTTTCTTTTCCTTTATCATCGTCATCAACAGCAGTAAGAATAAGTTATGTTGTTTATTTGTTGTGTGTTGATATCTATTTCCACTCATGTTTATCAAATTTTCCTTCTGCAAACATATTTGTGGCTTATGCTACATGAGCTATAAAAAGAAAAATTATCCCTTCAACAGAATTCATAATCTCGGTGATCACAGGCTTGTTATGTGGAATAATGCTCAGCTCATGCTACCCCATGGCGCATGAAAATGTAGCTATGTAAGAAGTGTATAGACCAAGTTGTGAAAAGAGAAGGATATTGTATGTTTACACATAGCAGAGGCTTACAAAATATGCCCCCCCCCCAAGCTTTTAAAAGAATTAATTTAACTTCTTTCATTTTTATTAATCATATAATATATTTAACAATTGAAACTACTAAGAAAAGTCTGTTTTTAGATTAGAGAAGCTTCAGAGACTTGCTGAAAAACTTCACAGAGAAGCCAAACAGTGTGATGGGAAACTAGATGATATAGATAAGAGAATAGCTGAGGTAAGAATAATGGATCATTTATTAGTTAAATTTTTTGTAATTGTCATGGAAATGAACAGATGTATATAGATATAAGACAAGCTGAGGTAGGAATCTTGAATTGCCTAGTGGTAACAAGTATTTGTTGTTGTCGTGTAAAAGAATAAATATAAAAAATATAAGAAAAGTTGAAATAAAAGTTTGCAAATATTTGTTATTGGGAAAAAAGTGCATATAAATTTTATAAGAAAGCATATCTGAATCATTAATTTATTTGTTAGCTAATGTCAGTATCTGTTTGTTGTCATGGGAAAAAAGCAAATGTTATGTGCATGGGTGCCCACAGGAAGAGACAAGAGAGGGCATTTGCCCCCCCAGTCCACATTTCACAAAACAATTGCACGTATTATAATGTAAACTTAACATCATAGTTAGACTAAATATTTTAAGTAGTTTTTATTAGAACTATGAATTTGTGTTTAAGCACACATAACACATTATTTTAAGCTGTTGGCTTACACTGTAAAAGCTGATCCCCTGGCCTACATACAGGTTTTGTTTCCCCTTGAAAATATTTCTGTGGGCAGCCATTGTTATGTGATGTTAGGGTGAAGAGTATATGGGCTAATTTAAAGGTTAACTGAGGTAAGAACCTGTATCAGTTTGTTATTGTAGGGGTTAAAAACATGTATATAATGTTGAACTTTTGTGAGATCTAAGGGTAAGAAAAGAAACCTGATAACTTGAGAGTTTTCAAGAAGATCACTTTCCTTCATCCTTCTGTTGATCCTGCATGCTTTTGAACATCATGAATATTTCTGAAATCTTTCACTCTAATGGAAGATTTGAGAACATCTAAAACACCGTGTTACTTCTTTGGCTGTTTATTGTTATTATTAATGTTGCATGAGAAATAAAAAAGCTGTATATTGCAGGAAGAAAAAAGGGTGCAAAGACTTCATCCCACAGATGCCATTTACATATGTGATCAGATTGAAGCTGAGCTGAAACTCATAGAAGAGAACATTCAAACAATGTTTCAGGATGTGGGGACACTTCGAGATGGACGATACCATCAGACTCATGAACTGTACAAGAGGTCAGAGTGATTTCCTTTTCCTTTTATGTAATCATTATTAAATTAAAATTTACTAACATGAATATTTTTTGACATTTGGTCTAATCAATTTACATAAATTTAGATAATAAAACCAATCCAAAAAACGTGGTAGTAATTTTGATTTAAAAATGTTTAATCGTAAACTGAACGTTTAGGACTGAATGCAATCGGGGATGTTCAGAAAAATTTCTCTTCATCCCCACTCAAGATATTACGAATCAGAAAAACTATTTGAGGAAAAATAAAGAAGGATATAAAAAGAAATATACATAATAATAAAACCTTATTATGGATTGTATATAAATGGTGTAACTGTCTTTCTGTTCACTAGGGTGCAGAACATTCAACAAAGGTGGCTTAATATTCGTTTGAGCTTCACATCCAGATTATTGACTCCATTGTCATCTCGTACCTTCAAGACTGAAGAACGCCAAGTGACAAAGCAACGACAAGTTGTGTCTGAGAGACGTCTGGTAGAAACAAATGATGCATTCAAGTTTTTACAAGAGTGTTTGGACTGGGTGAATGGAAAATTGGTAAATTTTGTTTTTATATGTTTACTATGAAATAGGTAACATGTTTAACCTGTAACAGAAATAGTCTTTAAAAAAAATTAGAATAAACAGAAAGTTAGTTTGAAAATTATTTAAGAAATTAAGATATTGTGTTATGGCTCAGTTATATATTAATTAGGATAAGAGTTACAAGTTGTTGTTGGATCCCATTTTCCCCATTAATCTTACTGTGTCCCTTGATGTAAGTGAGCCGATCCATCTGTTTCAGGCTTATTCACTTTGAACACAAGAGTTATGGCTGGTAACAAAGGAGCCCTCGAGTGAAGGAAATTTATCTTTCTAATTACGATTGTGTTTAAATCTTAACTATAGCTTAAAATGATTGTTAATTCAATTTGTAGATATAGAAATATTGGTTTGTTAATAAGTGTTTGTTTCTAATCAATTCTTTTACAAGTATAAATCAGTCTTTTTGAACTAGAGAAAAATTTGTTATGAAAATTTGGAAAAATATTTACACAGCAATTATCTTATTCTATTTATGGAATCTCTTTTTGTTTGTTTCTGTCTGTCCAGAAACTCCTTTATGCTGCAGAATATGGTAGTGACCTTCCAAGTGTCAAGTCTTTGTTAGAAAATCATCAACTTGAACACCAGTCTATTGATCAGTTCCACGTGAACATTGACCAATGTGGAACAAGAAAGGTAATGTTAATCCATTCTTAATTTCATTGAAAAATAACATTCTAGACTCTCCGATGAGCTTGATTAGATCTCTGAAATTTACCCTGATATTTGTTCAGTTTTTCTTTCCATATTTCTAAATCTCCAAGAAAACATGTTCCATATGTGATACAGTACAATACCTTGTGTGATGATCAAAGACTGGTCAAGGAATAGACAGAATTTTGAGATTAAAACTGTGATATGTCTAACTCGTACTACATTCTCTTTTTTTCATTTTTAGCATCAGTTTCAAGGTGATGAACAAGAGCTATATTATAGACTGTTCAGTAAATTAGAGAAGAGCTACACAGAACTTATGGTAAGTAACTTGTAACTTGTATCTTCATTACACAAACTGCTACAAGTTACACTGAAATTCTGTTTTAATAAAATATATAATGGATACAAAAATGTTTACTGATAATTTTGCTCTACTTTTTCGTCCTTTAATTCAAAAGAAGTGCTGGGCAATGGCTAGCATTCTTGACTAACAAGAATAGCCTAAAAGTTGACTGTTGGTGATGTTGACTAGCTGCCTTCCTTCTATTTTTACTATTCAAATTTTATTGATGACTATTGCAGACATTCCTTGAACAGCTTTGTGTGAAATCCAACAAAACGAAGAAACTTTAAATTGATTGTATGTGGAATTAAATAGTTTTGTGACAGATGTGAGATCGGAAAATAATTATATGCAATACTGTAAGATCTTTTAGTTAAACTATAGGTAAGATTTGTGTAGACATTTTTAATAGAAGTTTCATATTGGCATTTCTTTACAGATATCACTTAAATCTGGTGTTTTTTGTAGTATTTCTTGATATTGCTCTTAGAATGTTTACCAACAGATATGATAAGGTGAGGAAAAATGTTTGTTACGGTGAAATTTCTTTCTAAATATCTAACATGTACTTGATAGGCTAAAAAATAGGGTGTTTCACTTTAGGTTATGTCCAATAAACGTTTGATGGACCTGGAGACATTGTTAGACTTTATTCAGTCTGCCACAAATGAGCTGATGTGGATGAACAAGAAAGAGGAGACAGAAGTCACTCGAGACTGGAGTTCGAAAACCTTGGATGTTGTTGAAATAGAGCAGTACCAAGAAGTAAGTGAAATGCACAAGTGAAAAGAAGAAAGCAAATGTAAATTATTCTCTTCTGATTGTAACCAAGCTGACTTTTGGAGAAATTTATCATTACTTGAAGCGTTGTCTTTTTGTTATATAAATCGTTAATAACAAGATATTTACACAATGGTTGAATGTAGTATACAAAATTCTGTTTTCAAGTGTATATCTCTTTTGGATTTGAACCTGCATTATTCACATTCTCACAGAATGTCACAAGCCTATCATATTTTTCTATTGTAAAACTTCCAGAACTAGTCTTATTACTGTTTTAGATCTTAATTTCCAGAAGAACTTAATTTAAACAAATATAATGGTAAAACATGACACTGATATAGTAATATATATATAATATTTAAGATCTAAAAATTTTTTCTCCTTAATTCTACTTGTAAAATTTGATTTAGTGGGAAGATTGGAATTTTTTTCTTTTTTTCTTTTTTTTTGAAGATGTGACCTAATAATAAAATTGTCATAAATTACAAATGTCAAGTTAAATAATGTATTGAATTCTATAGATAATTTATAAAATAATTATTTTTTTCATTATTATTTATGTTCAAAATTTGATCAACCAGTATTTTCTTCTTAATGTTATTTTGTTGACCAGGCACATCACCAGGCTATTGTTTTATACTCTCTGAATATAAGGCAGATCACAGTAATTCCAAACATTGGCAAAAATACTGATTTCTTTAATCAAAAAAGTAAATATTCTGATTACCAAAGTTTTTAACGTTTAATGGAAAATGTGTACATATTTATTTTGTTAATTTGGTTATTTCATTGCTTCTCTGCAGTTCAGAATATGTTTTTATATTATTGTTGTGTAACTTGGATAAAGTACACTAACCACTGTCAACCAGTACTTATAGTTTAGGAAACTATGTCTTTGAATCACCAACATTTGTTATAAAACAAGGCAAATTTTGAGCATGAGAATAGTTTGTGACTAATGGTATGGAAATCAGTTAGCAAAATGAGGGGAATAACTTGTAGAATGAATTTTATTAATCTTAATGACAGTAATATTTGTGTAAAGTATGTTATTAAAGCTTGATGTGAAGGAATTGAAATAGTAAAACTATCAGTTGAAAGTTGATTTTCTACCTTTGATGTTTATTCATTATTGTGTTAAAATGTTTTTTGCATATCAGTACATGAGCTCATCATGTTAACTTTTTTTTTAGTATATTAAGTGTAACAAAGAGAAAGTGCAACATGAAATAATGAACAGGGATAGTTTGGTTCCTTTAAGATCTGTACATTTAACATAGTAATTAGTGTTTTACATCATATAATTTTTGTCCATTGACTACAGGCTAATGAAAGTTGATTAAGTATAGGGTTTGCATTCGGTTCTTGGGAATTCAGAAAACTGTGAGTTTTGCACCTTGGACTGTTTCTTGTTAAAATACCAGTAGCAATTTAAATCATGAAAATAGGTAAAGTGTAAGTTTTGTTTTGGCAGTATATCAATAGCAGCCTAGTCCTGAAACAATTGTGAATTGAGTTCATAAATGAAGGTTTTATAGAAATTCTTGTGGATGGTGATTCATTGCTTCATATTATAGACCCTGACTTCTGACCTGGAAAAGAGGGAAATTCAGTTCAATGCAGTTACAGACAGAGGACAAAGCCTGCAGCTACAGAAGCATCCAGCTACAGAATGCATTGAGGTGAGAATGATATATTATGAATTCAAACAGTGATTTAGATTGAAATAATTTCTATCTTTTTTTGTCATATTTATATTACAATTATGATTTATAACATTTGTATTAAAAAATCAACCTATCATTTCATAGATTTTCAAGTAAGTTTACTTTCCTAATTTTTGCGCTATCATTCAAATTGCCCCCTGAATTAATGATTCAGGATTGCATTTTAAATTGACATGTATGCAAGATAAAAAAACACCTGAAGAAGAGCACCCATATGAGACATACATTTTAATTCTTAAACCACTGTAATCAGTCTATCATGAACCATTATAGTGGTTCATAATAGGGTTTGCCCAGGAATTTCACAAAAACTCTAATAGAACATATGGGCAAAAACCATCTTAAAAAGCAGACTTGTTTTTGAAACAACATTAAAAACCATAGTAGATTTCTCTACTCTTGTGAATGGTGATTTATTCTACTGATTTATATACTTCACTGAAATTGTGAGTGTGTATTTGAGTATTATTTTATTATTATTATTATTCATATGTTTGTTTCATTAGCCTACAGCAAAATTGGCTGGGTATTTTGCACCAAAGCCTAGACAGATATACTATATGAAGTGCTGTGAATATCCAGGACTTATTTAAAAAGTTGATTATTTTTCACTGAAAGTTAATTTATGTGACATAATATATGTGATATTGTTGTGAGTAGCTTTCTTTGTATTTAATGCTTGTTAAATGCACATTTACACAAAACCTCAGGTAAAAACCACCTGGCTCAGTAAATAATGGTTGGGTGAAAAAAAAAGGCCAATGCAGCAGTAAACTGTTGAAATACATGTAACATTAAACTGCATGCATATGCATGTATGTAGATTAAAATTGGTTCTCAATAAACGGACATAGAAAAAACTTAAAAAACAAGATAATTAAAAATTGTTAATTTAAAAAGGGGAATAGTGATCATCAAAAACATACAGAAACAAGTTGAATCAAAATGCAAAGATTATATTTTTCAAGCCTACAACTTGAGACTAAAAAAAAGTAAACAAATTAGGGAGGAAATAGTCTCACATTAAAATTAGTAAGTATTGTATACATGGAGTAAAAAAAACAAAGGATTTGTAGCTTGAGAAAATAATGTAGACACTATTTCCAGCCTGATTTGTTTACTTTTTATTGGGTCTCTAGTTGTAGACTTGAAAATATAATCTTTGCATTTTGATTCAACTTGTTTCTGTGCTTTTTGGATGATCCCTATTCTTTTTTTTTAAGTTAACAATTTTTAATTATCTTGTAACTACTAGTTATGTAGTGCAGTGGTTCCCAATATTTTTCCAACTGAAGACCATCTTGTTCTGTTTCCAAAATTTCACAGACCACTTCATACAATATTAACTTTTTTTAAATTCTTCCAAGTTACTTTGTAAAACAATATTCAGCAACTTTATTTTTAAACACATTTTTTTCAACTGGCAGAAGACTGGCTGAAATTTCTGGTGGTTTGGAACCATTGTTGTAGTGTGTAGGGGTAGTGAGTCATACTATAAAGTTCTACAAGTGTGAGATAATTTTGAGACTTGTATAGATATTAAAATTACTGTATATTTCAGGCTTACCTTGCAGCAATGCAGTCCCAATGGTCTTGGCTTCTCCAACTGACCATTTGCTTAGAGGAGCACTTGAAGCATTCCTCTGCATATCACCAGGTAAGAACTTCTTACAGAATTAAGTGGGATGAAGTTGATGAAATCAATCACCAGGTAAAAACTTCTTATAGAGTTATGTGGGATCAAATCATTCACTTGGCTGCCAAGGTGTTCAAAGCAAGTGTAACTTAATGATCGTGGTTGCTCTAGTTTTACTTCAAACACACAATACACATTAAAGCTGATCAAATCAAATATTTTTATAATAGTTAATTTCTGTATTTTGTTCATTAAAACTGGTACTATTTGTATTCACTGTTTCGGTAATATTAACTATATATAAATGAACTGGTTCTCTGTTGGTTTGGGTTCTGGTTAGCATTGATGTAGTTATCAGTATATTCCTTGGTTTCTTTCTGTAGTTTTTCATGGAAGCAAGAGAATGTGAACAGTGGCTAGGTCGAATAGAAGATCGTTTGAATACGACCTTCAGTCGCAAAACATTTCCTATAGATGAAGGAGAACGACTGTTAATGCAAATGTTAGAGCTCAGGGAAGATATGATGCACTATAAGAACATTGTTCTTTCTCTTGTTGACCGAAGTAAGGAGATAGTCCCACTAAAGCAAAGGCGACAGCATCTTCCGAAACCCCTAAAAGTCACAGCAATCTGTTCTTACAAGCAGCTAAATGTAAGTCATGTTTATAAACTATTATAGTTTTGCTTAGATAATCAAATCCTAGTTTGCAATTTTTTATCCACCTAATGAGTTTGAAAATTTTTTCTGTGTTGAACAAACCAAACATACACATTCAGTCATCATTATAATGAATTTTGTGGATTTCTGTGTGATATTCAAAAGTATAGTATTGAAACAGTACTGAAAGCAGCTTCAGTTATCCAGAAGTTTTAAATGGAATTTGTATAACAGTTCATGAATGCTATTAAAAATTCATGTTTTACATATCTTTTAGTGAATGACTTTAATGAAAATTACAATAAAGTATCTTCTTATTCTTTTATGAATACACATTGTTACGTGTATTTTCTTTAAATCATGTATGTTAGTTGACTGTATGATTTAAAATATAATAATACATATGTGTATAAACATATAACTTAATGTCAATTCTTTTGTTGCTTTTTTTTTGCTTCTCACCAGATGACAGTATCTATAAATGAACACTGTTGGCTTCATGACAACAGCCAGAAAATAAAGTGGAAAGTAAGTCATCCAGTGATGCTTGTAAATGTTAGAAAAACACTTTATTTACGTTCACTTGAAACAGTAAAGTGTTTAATGAAATTATTCCATTTTCAGAATTGGATGCAAGTTTGGTAATAACAAAAATAATATTAAATCTCAATCCTTTTCACAAATGTATAAAGTCGTAATAGATCTAGGAATATTTTATGAAGGTGAATATGACTAATTATATTAAATAAGCAAAGATTTAAATCTGAAATTATTAGCTCAAATCGTAAAAGCGTGAAGCACTGAACATTAAAAACCATAGGTTTAATTTAGAATTTCGTATTAAGAAATAAAAAATATGTGTGTCAATTTGAATAGGTGCTTAGTGTTGCAGTCAAGAAATCAGTTAAAAGAGATGCTATAAAAACTGATATCATACATTACATTACAACATACTTTGTTTTATAAGCACATGAAAGATATTTACATACAGACATATTTATATGCTTAGTAAAGAATGTTTTAAGAATTTCATTAAAAGTTATTTTTTAATTCTTGAACCATTGTTTATGGTGTTTCTAAATCCAAAAATAATAACATTTTCAGGTAATAAATTCTGCTGGGACTGAAGGTATGGTCCCCGGGGTTTGTTTTGTGATCCCACCTCCAAACACTGAAGCAATAGATCTGGCACAAAGGTAAATATAGCATTCTGAAAGAAAAGTTGTACATATTGGCAAAGAATATGTTATCTTGAATGAACACAAATGATATTGTTGTGCTGTGGATAAATACATCAAACTTGGAAGTTAGCTTAGTTAGAAACACGAGTAATTTTAGTAATAATCCTGTAGTCATTATTTTACTCAAGAAGTTAGTATATAGTTTGTATATGAAAGAAAATGTTGTCAAAATTCAATGAATGGTGATCAATTATTAGCATTATTAAACTCCAAAGATAAACAGTTAATAATGTTTAAATTCAGATTATTATAAGTATTAAATTTGAATAAAAAATATGATGATAAGTCAGTAATTGTAAAACCAAAAAAATGATGAAGTAAAGCCAGATTGTTCAAATTTAAAGCATTATGAAGAATAGTTAGTATTGCTAAAATCAAAAGAATTGTGAAGAATAGTCAGTATTGTTATAATCAAATGATTTGTGAAAGATAACCAGTACAGTTATATATTTGTCCTGTTTCTTGTTTTATGTAAAACAAAAATTTATCTTACCAGCTTGAACAAGAAGTTTGACAATGTCTTAACCCTATGGTTTAAGAAACACCATAAACTAAGGCAAAACATGATTTTCTCGACAGTAAGGGTCATCAAATCTTGGGACTTCACAACAGTAAGTTAAAAAAAATTATCATTTTTTATAAATAGTTTTGTCTACATTTTATAACATTGTTTAACTAGATTTTTTTTAATTTACTCAGAATCAGTTGATATTTTCAATAAAGTTTTGGGTGATGTTTGTAACTTTGCAAAGTTGGTATGAAAAGAAAAACAGTAAACATTTGAATATATTCGTCAGTAGAAAAGTTCTCTTTGTAATTATTACCCTGACCAATATGGTCAGAAGTTTGAATTTTTCACCTACTATGTTTGATAAAAATCTCAACACAGAGACTAAAACAGCATCCACTTTACACTTAAGATGGATGCAATGCATAAAAACTTAAGACCCATCACAGTCTACTCTGCTTGAGACTCAACTAAAACAAGAATTCTGAATATTGTGTAAGATGAACTGAGATTTTATTACATTAGTTTATATAAAGATTGTTATTATAGTTCCGCAGCATGGAACCAGCTCAGAGAGAGTCCATTCAAAGAGCCTTAAAAGAAGATGGACAGAAACTTGTGGATGAAGGAGACACCAATGATCCAGACCTCAAACGTTTGCAGGAAGAGATCAACATCTGTAACAAATTGTTCCAAGATTTCCTCAAGAGATTGAAGGGTGATGAAGGTAAGTTAGTTACTACAAATGTAAATAGACTTATTTTATTGTGTATGTATGTACATACACACACATATACATTGCATATATTTGCCAGGACAAAAAATAAAGTGAAGTATTATTGTGATTCATATTGCCAATCATTGACCAAATATCTAAATTAAAAAGAGACCATAGAATAAGTGATTAGTAAATTAATCTTTCGATGTGTATCTCTTTTGTTTCTCTTAAAAAAACCAAAGTAAGGGACCAGTAGACCAAGTATGTTTACTTGGAATTTAGATGAGTAGAAGAATATTGCTTTTTCAATTAAGATTTTAAACACTTGCAGTACTTTGGGTGAGATGACTAAGGACCCTTTGCTTTTTTGATTTGATACTTTAAACAATACAACATAACATGTAACAATTTCATAAACACTTGCTTTTTTCTTAGTTAGTAATTTTTAAACACCTGCAATGTAATATGTAACAGTAAGTTGAACAAAAAAAACTTACTTTTTTGTCAGAAAGTTAAACAACTTCAATGTGATACATGTTAGGTTTACACAACAAGAAAAAAACACTTGCTTTATTAGTTAAAGATTTGGATAGTCTCAGTGTGTGTTAGATGACCAAGGAACACTTGACTAGTCAGTTAATCCTAGGGTTACTGATGAGGTCCATGATTTTATCAACACTTTAAATATCTTTTATAAACAGTTTATACACCAAATTGCATATAGGTTCATTACTTTGTTGATTACAGGATCCTGAATAACATATGAGTTAAGCAAAAAACAAAATGTAACCAACCATATGGTCATTTTCTTGGTTTAGTAGTCTGTTCAGTCATGTAAGTTTTAATTATTAAAATTGATTGTTTTTTCCAAATAATCTCACTAATAACTGTTTATGTTTCCTTTGTAACCTATCAAGAAAATTATTGATTTCACTCAGTTTTTTGGGGCAGTTTTTTACATTTAATGTTATAATAAGCAGAAACTTAAGATTACTCATTATGATGCTGTGTGTGGACTTCACCAGTACTGGATGGTGTGTAGACAAGTCAATAATTTGTTTAAAAAGTTAAACATCCTTAATGTAATGTATTATGATTAGATAATCAGAGAACACTTTATTGGTTCAAAATATAAACAGCCATGATTTAATGTGTAAGTGATAAGATACATTTATCATTATAAAGCTAAGCAGTAAAATATTAATTAAACAAGTGACAACTCACCATGAAACTAATTAAAACTTGTTGATATACCATTTTACAAAATTAGAAAATTTATTCCAATGTTATTTTTTATTTTTCATAATTAGTGGACAGAACCTCGGGTAGCAGGTTTACTGACCTAATAAGCTCACTACAAAATTCATTGAATGAAAAAGAAAAGATTCTTCAGAACCGATCACAAGAACCAATTCCCCGTGACCTAGATACCTTGGAGACCCAAGTGATGGACCACAAAGTAATCAATGTCTAACTAAAATATGTTGATTATTACTATTTAAAAGTCAAGTATATATATAAGATAGTTTTTTGTTATTGTTCTTCAATATTGAATATGCAAGATAATTGAATTTAGAGAGAAATGGTAATACTTTACTAATTTTTAAGTTTGAGATACAAGGTAAATCAAATTAAATACAGATGATATTGCCCTTCGTTATTGTTATTTGTTTCATCTATTGATAATGCATGATAATTTTTATTTATAGGGATTTGAAACAGATTTAAAATCACTAGAGCCACAAATAGAAGAGATGAAGGACCAGTTTCAATCTATGGCCAAAAAATCACCTGTTTTACAAAATCGCCATGATACAGTGATAGAAATCTGGGAAAGAACTTGGACTCTCTCGCATCTTTACATTGAGAGGTAATCCAGAGAAGATAAATATTGTATGATAAACTTATTATATTAACTTTGAAAAATGTGTCACTGAAAAGTTCAACTTCAGGAATTTTTTTTTTTGCTACAGAAAATCTGAGTTATTTTTAATGTTAAAAAATTATTTATGAACTTAGATCTTATTACCTAATGTTTCAATTCTGCACCTTTATGAAGGAATTGCATGGCAGGCTTCTGCAGGAGGACTCGAAAAATTTCGAAGTGACATCTTTGCATTTGTTAATTTAATAATAGGAAGTGTACATGGACTATTCTATGTTATTACTAAACACACAAAGTAAATTAGCTATTGTTTAAGAATGTGGCTTTGGTTTATATCTTAAAAACAACTGTAGGGAAAGAAAAAGATTTGCATAATGTGCATTATTTTAGTTTTGAAAAATACACAAAATCAGTACAAAAAGTTGTTTTGGAACAAGAAAAGAATTTCATTAGACCATAGATAAGATGTCTCTTTAGATTTATTTTGAAATTCACACTTTATGGAAAAAGATTACACAAACCAGTTCTGTTTCTGTTAATTGGAGAATGTTTTTTAACACGTTTCCTGCCACCAGTAGTATTAATAATTCCTACTCTAGTGCCATTCAAGAGGTGTCGAGGAGCAGTCATAGTGTTCCAAACTCATATGCCACAAGAGAAATTTGGCTTTGAAACATAATTGTCTCACACCTATTGGTGTGTCAGAAGGTCCATAACTAAAAGTCAGTTGTGACCCACCGGTGAGGCACATGGCAGGAGAAGAGCTTTAGTACTTTTTCTTTCTTAAAAAATCCCTTATCTTAGCTAAAATTTTAATATAATATGAGTAAGGGTTGTCTGTTGTTGTAAATGCATGCTTATTTGGATAAAGTGATCAGTTGAAGCACTTTTGCTTGGTTCAAGTTTATTGACGTGTTCACTGATTTAGGTGTGTAGGGTTTTGCTGTTTTTCTTGAATACTTTCTGGTTCATAAACTACATCTTTTGCTACTTGTCATGTGACATTATTTTTGGTAAAACAAATGTGTAGGGTGAAAGTAGAATGAACTAACTGTTCTGTGGAGGTTTTTTTTTGGTTCTGTTTTACAAAGGATTGTTTAAGACCTCTGGCATCAACACAGTTCCAAGGAAGGTTCCTACTTGAGATGCACTGGACTACTATATTCTTGGGTTATTACTTCTGATGACAAGCTGTTTACTTCTTTCTTACCTTTAGTATGTTTGTGTGTGCAGTGAGACTTTAATTCAGTCATGGAGAATCATGCCTTCTCATGTTTCTTCAATGTTGTTCAATGCTGTGAACATCCAGATGATTGGAAATGAAAATTGTTACCATAGATTTGAACAATGCTTTGAATATAGACTGGCAGAGAAGACTGATTATTTTTCTCAATTATGCAATGACTTGTTACTGATTAATGGAATAGTTACTTTTTTGTAGGATGCGTTAAAAATATAATCGCTTTTCTAATTTCAGCATTTCCTGTACTGATGTTATATGTTTTTTCCAGAGCTAGTTAATGTACTTTATACAGGTCTTTCTTGTTTTTGTATGACAGTGGTTATTTAATGTATAAACCAAGACCGCATTCATAAATAATACATATTTTAAATATTTTTTTTAATAATGTAGAGTAGACTATATGTACTTTTTTGTTGATGCATTCACACATGGAAGAATGTCAGTTTGATATTTTTTGGATATGTGAAAAGAGCACATACTACAGAACTCTTTAAAGGTGCATAACCAAAATATTGGCAGATAAAATACTGTTATGTCTAAAGTCTTAGAATTTTAATGTCTATTTAATGTGTAGAATTTTAATGTCTATTCAATGTGTAGAATTTTAATGTCTATTTGAGTAAACTTGAAAGAAAGTAGATGTAGATCCATATGGATATTTGTTTGTCAGTTTTAATGTTTAGTTAGTGAAAAATGTTTTGTAAAAATAAATTATTGGCTGAAAATAATTGCAACATACTTAAATAGATAATTTATTGAATATATATATTTATAGCTTGGAATTATTGTTTAAATCAAACCATGTTTTCTGTCTTAAGCTAAACTTGATGTATTCTTTTATGTATCACTGCTAAGAGCAAACAGTGTTTTCTGTCATGAACTAAGATTTTTGTGTTGTTGTATCTTTCAGTGCTAAGGTTAAGTAGTTTTATCTGTCATGAGCCAAGTTGTAATATTTTTTTTTTCAGTACTAAGGTTGAGCAATGCTTCTGATCATGAGCTAAGATTGTTACATTTTTGTATGTTGTAGTGATAAAGTTAAGTAGCATTTTCTGTCTTTAGCTAAGGTTGTTATATTTTTGTAATTTTCAGTGCTGAGGTCAAGCATTTTTTTTTCTGTCAAAAACTAAGGTTCTTATATTCTTGTATGTTTCATCGCTAAGGGCAAGCAGAGTTTCTGTCACAAGTTAAGGTTGTTATATTTTTGTTTGTTGCATTGCTAAGGTCAAGAAGTGTTTTCCGTCACAAGTTAAGCTTGTTATGTCATATAGTTCAGCATTAAGGTTAAACAAGCTTTTCTTTCTTGAATTAAGGTTTTGCAATCTTTTATGTTGCAATGCTAAGGTCAAGCAGTGATTTTTGTCTTCAACTAAAGTTTTTAGGTTTTTATGCTTCAGGCTAGAATTAAACAGTATTTTGAGTTTGTTATAAATTAAATGGTTTGAGCACTTTTGAAAGGTAGTTTTTTTCCTCATTAAATGTTATACATGTAAAAAAACCAAAAAAGTAGGGTGAAAATGAAGTAAAGAAGCTTTTCTTACATTTAGTTATGGAATACCTGATATCACCTGTGCCAAGAATTTTGTTTCAGTTTAATATATGACTAATATTTCAGCAATGATAACTTGTCAAAATCCAAATAAACTTGTTTAGTAATAGTATACAAGGACTTCTATATTACCATTTACTGCTTAATTGGTTGTGTGTGTATGTTGACAAACCAATTTCTTCGGTATATAGAAAGACATTAAAATAGTAGACATATTCAGTGACTGTGGATAATATTAAATGAATTCAGTGTATAATCAATCGTTTTTTTTTAAGTTGAAATCTGTGGAAATCATACTGACTGTTCTAGACGAAGCCACAAATGTTGTGACCCAGATGGAGATCCAATTGGTAAACTATGAAAACCTCTCAGCAGACAGGACAAGTCTTAGTAAGACACATGAGCAACTTATGGTGAGTAATATACCATAAACTGAATATAAAGGTCCTTTTCTTAATGTCTGTACTAATATTGCTTTATTCAAGGCATAAACTGATTGTTTTGAATGACATCACAATTATGAATTATAATCATTGAAGTTTTTTGTTTTTTTTCACTGAATACCCATTTCACTATAAGAGCATGTTGTTAAAGTAGAAGTAAATTCTTTATTTATATATATGTTTGTATTTCTGTTTTGTAGTATTTTGAATACACTTTAAACAAGTTGGTTACAAATTAATTTGACCTTTTAAAGGATATCGTAATCTGCAAGTGTAGTTTTAACTGTATGAACAGAGTTAAAAATTTAAATTCATTTTCTGAATTTATATTTTTTATGACTCCTTTGTAGAAACTTCAAGGGCAGATACAACAGGGGCAGAATGTAATTGATCAACTAAATAATGACTTGACCAATGTCCAACGATTGACCGAGTGCACTCGTCCGAAACAAGTAAAACACCCAGATATTAAGAAACTGGAAGATGATGTGAAGAAGATCACTAAACGATGGGATAATGGATGCTCTCAAGTTGTGGAAAGGTGATATTTGTTTTTGCATTTTACTTGATTTCTGTTTTAGATTATAGAATTGTGTAAGATAGATGGTATACTAGAATCAAGCCTAAAAATATCTGTTGCATGATTATACAGGCTACGAAGTTGTGAAGCAGCTTCTGAACTTATCAGAACATATCGAACGAAACTTGACAAAGATGAACAACCATGGATGAACCAGATGCTTACTCAAGTTAAAAAACTTAAACCAGTTAATTCAATGACTCCCCAGGAAGCTGAGAAACAGGTTCAAGATATTGTGGTATGTGCCTATCTAAAACGTGTTGATGGGTCAGAGAGACTTTTGAACAGATTAAAATGAATTAATTTTATTATGAAAATGGAGTTTATTGCATGTAGACAAAGTAAGAGTTTATTATAAGGGCAACTAAAATATATCCCAGGATATGTAATTAAGTGATATAACTCAATTTATATTGAAAAGTTAAGTTAATGAAAGGCATCTAACCTAATCATTGCCAGAAATATAGGTGTTATCTTAATACATTATTTTACTGAAATATATACACTATATTATAAAATAACTTTCCTGTTTTTTTCTCCATCTGCCTCATTTTAGTTTTTTGTTCTGTATCTGTTATTTGAAACTATATGGTTGAATTATGTGTACATTAAAGTGAGAATTATATGAAAAGTTTTTTTTTATCCAGGAACTTTATAACTCTGTATCACAAAGAAAATCCTCCATTGAACATACTAACACCCTGGGAGGAAGGTATGTTCGAGAAGCCAAGGTAAGATTTCAGACCAATAACTGAAATTTCTCTACATAAAGATCTATGAAGTATTATATAGCAACTAACATCAGCTTTTGGGGATGAATTGTTTGTTACTTTAGAATGGCCATGCAGGAGCTAATATGACCTAGAAGAACTTGATGTTTTATATATATATATATATATATATATATATATATATATCTTTGGTGGGATATAGTGCTGAAATGTTATTTGGTTGTCTTACTTTATCTAGTTTTTACTTTTAAAGGCATTGTAGAGAAAGTAACTGAGAGCCATAGGATTGCTATTGCAGTATTATAATTTGCTGTTAAAAGTTTTGTAAAAAAAAAAAAAAGTATAAACCCTCATTATCCATATTTGTTGATTTAGGTTTTGTGACATTCACAGAAAGGGTTTTTTATGTATTAAAGAATAGTAAACAGAAAAATAGAGCAAGGTGTTATTTTTCTAAGTCTTTGAATAATTCTTATAGTAAATATTAAGTTTGTTGAAAAAATCCTCAAACAAAACTTTAGTATATAATTTCTCAATTTAAGATGCTATTAACCAGATATTCTCTGCTGATCTAGACATTTCATGGGTAGCCAAAGACACTCAGAGTAGTTCTAAACAGACTGTAACATATTTAGAAATATGGATTGTTCAGTCTTATTTGACATTTTGATTTTTAGAATTTGTTGATTAAATCTTACATATGTTTTGAAATTTACAGTTACTGTGTATGTTTGATGAGAAAAAATGTATTTTACCTGAGTTGGCTTAGCTAAACCTTTTCTTCTTTTTTCCAGATATATGATTTGAGACTAAAACATTACAGAGAAAGCCTGGAAGAGGTTCATCCAAGTTTGGATGCCAGTATTCCTAAGAAGGCAAAAGTAGTAGTGGGTGCTGATGTTATTAGCCAAGAACTTGATGTCTTAAACAAGCAGTACAGTGATTTGGTAGACAAAATCCTACAGTACTTAAATGAGTTAAGGGAGTATCTATCAGGACAAAAGGACTACAAGGTGAGGTTTTAACTTTTAAAATTTATGTGGAGTGTAAAGTGTGACCACTAAGGTTGAAATTTGTATTTGACAGCTCAAATTGCCTTTTCTTAAACCTATGAGTCTACATTTTTAAGGAAATATGCTATCAGATTTCATTGGAAATGTGAAACATAATTTGAATGTTTTTATCAGATAGTTTGACTTTTAGCAGTTTGTATGAAATATTGAAAAATTTCTTCAAATTTTTTCTGTTATTCATAATTTTTGTTAATAGTTGTAAATTTAGAGATCTTATTATGATACACATTATCATCTGAAAATGTAAGTGTTTTTTTTAAGTATGTGATAAGTCAAAACTACTCTGTGATATCACTGAGAATAATATTGCAGTATGTCATTCCATATCATAATATGTAGGTGTCACTAGATTCTGTTAAAACAAATTACAAAGAATAGTATTTCATGATAACTTAAAGCAGAACTTTCATATTGCACCATAATATTTCTACAGCGTAATGAACATTTAAAAAAAATCTTTCTCCAGTTACTTTTTCAGTAAGTGACACTAAAAACGAAATTTATGGTACTAGTTTCAAACAGCATATTTCCAACATCACTTAAGTAGGTTTTTAGAGTTATTACGTTCCAAAGCAATTTTAGAGTAAATTAGAGCTGCTTTTTAACATTGTAATGTCTGTGAGAAACAAAAATATAATATCAGTTTAAATTAAAATATTCAAGAGTGCAAGTCACGAAGTAGTAACACTCTCTTAGTGTAATTTGCTGTGAGAAGATGTTGTAGAAACTTTATTTCTCACTTATAACTTGTATCGTTTAGACATAATGCATGACTTGTCACAGATTTGAACATGTTGATCTAAGGGTGCACACTACATTGTTGGAAGGTGAGTTTCTATACTTTCACTTTGATCTTTTATGCACTATATGTAATATTTCTGTGATGGGTATTTTCTACACAGCATGTTACTTGGTGGTTTCTTGTGGAATTTCTCACCCTTTCTTTCCTGTCTCTTTCCTTTCTCACAGTGTTCCATCACCATCAGTCGTGCTGTTCCCATCACTCCTCGTTCCTTCCGCTCTGAACTGATCATGGACCAGGCTTCTGTACAGGAACCAATGGACATGGATGACAGATATTACTCTGTCCAGGAAGGCTACACTACACTTACATACACAACACAGGATAAAGTTATTCCTGAGCATGGTACAGAAACTCGAAAATATTTCACCACGGTAACAGAACCTACCACAGTTTCAAAGCGACAAGAAACTACACGAAAGCCAAGTGAAGATTTATCCTCTCCACAGAAAAGATTAGCTGGCACATCCATGACAATTAAAGAAGTCAGAAGTACAAGACGGTTAGAAAAAACTGACCAGGTACCAAGTTTTGAATATGTAACAGCTGTCAGAGGTATTGCAAATCCTAAAACAGGAGAGTTACTGACAATGACTGAAGCCATTAAATTAGGTATACTGAATATTAATACTGGTCAATATACAGACCTTCGGACAGACAAGCGCATGAACCTACAAGATGCGGTTTCTAAAGGATTGATTGATGGAGACTTTGTAAATCGTATTACAGAAGTTTGTGGTATTATTGATGTGAAAACAGGTATAGAGTTGACACTAATTGAAGCCATCCAGAAGGGATTATTTGACCCTGATAAAGGAACATTTATTGATCCAAAGCAAAGAATACCTATAACAATTGATGAAGCTATTCATTGTGGAATTGTCAGAGAAGACAAAGTACAGACATTGATTGAAATGAAAATTGTCAAGATTTCTAAATTGACTATAACAGAAGCTGTACAGAAGGGATTACTGGACCCACAAACAGGACAATTCAGAGACCCTAAGACACACCAGTTAATTTCTTTGAAGGAGGCTTTTGAAAGAGGATTTCTAGAAGTTGAAGTTTCTGCATATAGTGAGGGAGGTATTCCATTGGCAGAAGCCATAGATAGAGGTATGGTGAATGATAAGGCAGGACAGATAGTAGACAAAGACTCGGGAGAAAGATTTACAATTGATGAGGCTATCAACCGAGGTATTATTCGACGTGATGTCCGTGAAGTGGTTAACACACAATCTGAGGAAATCTTGAGTGTCCCCCAGTCCCTTTCTCAAAATGTAATTAATGCTCAGAGTGGAAGATACATCAACAAGGCCACCCAGGAATGTCTTACTTTTCAGCAAGCCTATGATAAACAATTCATATTGAGACCATTAACATTGAAAGATGCTTATGAACTAGATCTGTTAGATGAGACAGGAAGAGTGACAAATCCAGTCAGTAAGCAAAAACTAACAATAATTGATGCAATTGCAAAGGGAATATTAAATATCGAAGTCAAGTCAATCATCCATCCAGATAATGAGGAGTTACTTACATTACCAGAAGCTTTAGAAAAGGGTGTTCTTACGCCACATGGACAATTTGTTGACTCTAAAGGAGAGCTCATCAGTCTTAGCCAAGCTGTTAACAAAGGTCTCATTACATCAGTTTGTCACAAAATGATATTTGACATTGAAGGCATCAAGAACCCTGTTACAGGTGACAACATAAGTTTTAATAATGCGGTAAGCAAAGGTTTCATTGACTTAAAAACTGGAAAATTCAGAGATACCACGAAAGGAGGAATTATGACATTTGATGAAGCAACCACCAGAAAGTTTATTCAGCCTCAAATTACAGAAATGATGAATAAAAAAATTGGAGTAAAAGATGATAAAGGAAAGGAATTGACTATTCTTGAAGCTGTTTTTAAAGGTTTGCTAGATGCTAAAACAGGACAAGTAAGAGAGCCAAGAACAAAGAAGCCACTTCCATTAAAAGAGGCTATAGAGAAAAATATAATAACACCAGAGGGAGCAGCCATTTTAAAGAGTTTGCTTAATATTACTGTAACATTGGCAACAGTCACCAAAACGATAACACGATATGTTACGGTAACCAGTCAAGGAGTGACTTCAGATGTTAAAATCACCTTCCAAGATGCTATGAGGAGAGGATTGATTGATGAAACCCATGGAACCTTCAAAGAACCTAATACAGGAGAAATAATGCCCTTAGAAGAAGCCATCAATAGAGGAATTTTAGGACTTACTTCTGAATGGCCAACTGAAACACCTCAAGAAATACCTGGGTACCCAACTGAACCATACACTACAGGATTTCATAGGACTACTATAACACATAGAGAGAACATCTCTCCTCTTCCTGAAAAAGAATTACTACCAACTGTTTCAAAAAAATCAAATATAGAATCCTATACAAAAGAACTTCCAACTTCACCAAAAGAGAGTTCTAAAAAAGGACCATCAGCTCATCAATACCCTAAAAAAGAGTCACCTGGTAAGGAGAGCCCAAGGAATAAGAAGGAGTCCCCCTTCAAAGAACCCTCTCCACAAGGCAAAAAGTTTCCTATAAAAGACATTTCAGAGCCTACAAATGAGGATGCAAAACCCAAGAAACCTTTTTCAATAATCACACCAGATGAATACCAACCAACAGAAGATAAATCTTACATTTTTAAACAGGTACTTAAACATGACACAATAGATGTTAAATTTCCTGAAGATAGTCTTGAAACGCAGGCACCAAATGAAAAACCTTCTGTTCCAGCCAGAGAAGAGCCTCGTAAGGCAAGACAGCCATCTCCAACAAAGGAAGAACCTGGTAAAGGAAGACAGCCATCTCCAACAAAGGAAGAACCTGGTAA